AGTACAATACACATGCTCCGACATGCAGGCACAGCATATATGTGGCTGTACATAAAAACGTCTCCTTGGGTGGACTTCCGCCGGAAATGGAGTGCAGAACGAGCAGCACTTGTCTGCTGATATCAGCAGCGATAGACGAGCGCATAAAAGCCTGCTAACCAGCTCAAAGGCATCATCATTACGAGCTTGACACGAATATAAAACAAGGAAGAACGCTATAGTCGAGTACCTCGACTATCAGATACCCGTTACTCAGCTAAATGGAGATATGCAAGCAGCAAAGCGAGATTAAAATGCGCCACCTACCGGCGGTAGACAGATTTAAGCGTTATGGGCGTTAGAGTGGGCGTGGCAAATTTATTTTTGGATAAATCGATAGGTATTGACGACACCAATACATTTCAGTTAAAATTTTTTATGTAGCATGCAAATTGTGGGCGTCACAGGTTTTCGCGGTTTGTGGGCGTTTAAGTGGGCGTGGCAAACTTTTTTTAGGTCAATCGATAGGTATTGATGAGAACAATACATTTCAGTTAAAATTTTTTATCTAGCATCAAAACTGTTGGAGTTACAGTTTTGGGCGGTTTGTGGGCGTTAGAGTGGGCGTGGCGGTCTACTGAAACAAACTTGCGCTGCGTAAGAAGCTCAGGAATCTGTACGCCAAATCTCAATAGCCTAGCTCTCATAGTTTCCGAGATCTCAGCGTTCATCCGGACAGACAGACGGACAGACGGACAGACGGACAGACGGACAGACGGACAGACGGACATGGCTAGATCGACTCGGCTAGTGATCCTGATCAAGAATATATATACTTTATGGGGTCGGAAACGCTTCCTTCTGCCTGTTACATACTTTCCGACGAATCTAGTATACCCTTTTACTCTACGAGTAACGGGTATAATGAATATACAAACAAGTGCTGTGGCAGCTGAATATATGCATGAGAAATATTTGCTTAAAAAATTGCAATTGCTTTAAATCTGGTTTTGTTCAAGTGCTGATTAGCCTATTGACCAAACGGATTTCTATGATTTGGGTTAACCATTAATAATAAATGCGTGCCATATAAGCAAATCTGAATGATTCATTATATTGATTTGTTAAACGAACATAAGTTCATTAGTCAACTTTATATCTTTTTTAATAGGGTTTTCCACAAAACTGGCATCACATATTTTTTTAGTCAAACCAGCAGTTGGCTTTTCCCAAGGACTAATTTAATATTGCTCAATTAGGTTGTGAAATCTAGTTTAGAACTAGTTTTTTCATGGGCTGTTCAGTCATACTTGAAACCAGCATGCAGTTGCACGACTATATGAGGTATATAGACCTGGCTTGCGGGATGGCTTGTATTCCAAGATATCAATGGTCTGGACGGCGCACAGAAAGGAAACCATATACGTTGGAAAGAAAAACTCTGCTCGTATTTGCTATTATCTGCTACACCTACCAGATTTTTGGAGTGATAACCTATTGGTATCGAAATGGGCGGAACGCAGAGGATACGGCCACGTTCGTCACAGAAATATCAGAAATGTGCGGTTCTCTTATGTTGATCGTTGTGGGATTCTCAAATTTTTATGCTCTCATAAAGAACCGTTCTCAGATCGAGGAAGTGTTCAAGGATCTCCAGGAGATATATCCGTTAGCTGGAGACAGGCACTACCGTTGCCAGCACTACTATGACATGGCCATGCTAATAATGAAAGGCGAATTCATGTTCTATGTGGTCTTCTATGCGTACTACAATAGTGCCCCTCTTATGTTGCTGCTCTGGGAACACCTGCAGGAGGACCAGGATCTGAGTTTTAGGACGCAGACTAACACTTTGTTTCCCTGGAAGGTCCATGGATCTGCTCTGGGTTTCAGTGTGGCTATACTTACCTTAGCCATGATGTCATTTGTAGGCGTGGGCTTCAGCATAGCCACCCAGAATATAGTCTGCATATTTACTTTCCAACTGAAATTGCACTATGATGGAATGGCCAGTCAGTTACTTTCCCTCGATGCTCGTCAACCCAGAGCACATGAGCAGTTAAAGTATCTAATCGACTATCATTCTAGAATTCTACATATCGGAGATCAGTTTAATCAGATATTGAACTTCATATTCGGGAGCAGCATGGTTGGCTCTACAATTGCCGTTTGCATGACGAGCGTGGCTGTTATACTACTCGACTTGGACTCTGCTTTTAAGTACATGAGTGGTCTGATAGCCTTTGTCCTTTACAACTTCGTTATCTGCTACATGGGTACTGCGGTCACTTCTGCTGTAAGTAGTAATAGTATTAATACACAGAGAGAATTTTTCAAGTAATTTGTACTCAAATTGAGTATTTTTGTACTCAAAAATTCAGCATGAACAAAAATTCTCACATTGAGTGCAAAATACTCACTTTCAGTACAAATTTCTCAAAAAATTTGTACTTTAATTGAGTACGTTTGTGCTCTTTTTTGAACATTTTTCCTCAATATGAGTACAAACTGCACTCATTTTAAGAAATAATTTAGCTTGAATTTTAGAATCAAGTATCCCCTTTTCTCAAACTGAGAAATTTCTAGCGCTCAAAATGAGAAACAAGTTCTTGATAGTGAACTTATAAATTCTTAAATGAAGAACTTTTGCACTTAAACCCGCTCCACCCATTCCCAGAAAAAAGGTAAAATATTTTTTTTCATTATATTTTGTAATACAGTTATATATATACAAACACATTATTTTTTATTTAAGTTTATGTTCCATGTTATGGGTTATGATATTATTCCCTTAGCTGTCTGGTCTAGCGAAAAGCAAAGAGGCTGAAAAGAAAACGTTGTTGTTAGCAAATATTGTAAATATATATGCATATATAAATATGAAACAATAAAATTAGAATGTTATTAAATGTACATTTAAAATGCATGTATGTATGTATGTACATTATACATAAAAAACTAACAAAACTAGACACGTGCTTCACGCCACTTACAATCACACATACATAAATATTGATGTACACGCTTTGGCAATATTTTTGCAGTGTTTGTTTATTTTATCATTATTAAGCACATTATAAATACAGTTAAAATTAAAGAACTTACCCTCGAGGTACGGAAGGGTGGCACGAATGTCAGTTCACTACAAAAGTTTTTTAACTTTGTGTTACGCGCACGTCTTCACTTTGCTAAATCACACGGCAAATGACAGTCACACAAATGCGGCGCGTACCACTTTACACACCCATTAGTGAGAAAGAGACAACCATATACGCAACGAACTAAAGACCGCTCATCTCTCGTCTCGTTCGCAGAACGGAATTCTCTAGAACCAATTATGAGAATTATCAACTCATTTTTGAGTCTATCGAATACTCATAATGAGAATATTAATTCTCAAGTTTGAAATGGAAGAACACATTTCCTCAAACTTAGAATTTTGTGATCAATTCAAGTTATTTTTCTTAAAATGAGTGAAACTTTCCTCAACATGAGCATTTTCCACAAATTTTGTACTTAAATTGAGTACATCCTCAAAATGAGAATACAAATTCTCAATTTCAGAACGTCATAATTTTCTCTGTGTAGGTTAAGATATATTATACTCTACGGCAAACGGAACAGTTGTCTTTTCTCAGCACCCTAATATGGCTGCTTAAAAATTACCCAATTAGACTTGCAGGCTTACATATGTGAGACCTATTACTTGGAAGCATTATCTAGTTCCTCGCAGTTTAAAACAGAATGCCGTTGATAGACTATATGAAGTATTTAGACCGGTCCTGTGAGATTGGATTTTCAGCTCCCTATCAATGGACTGGAGGACCAAAAGATAGAAACCAACAAACAACAATCAGTAAAAATCTCTTCAAACTTTCCGTAATTTTGTTGACCTACCAGTTTGTTGGTATAATTACATATTTTTACTTGTTTGGCCGAACGGAAAAGGACGCGGTTAGGTTCGTTACAGGACTTTCGGAAATGTGCGGCTCACTTATGTTAGTCTGTGTGGCATGCACCAATGTTTGGGCACTCACAAAGAACCGTCCTTATATTCAGGAGGTTTTCGGCGAGCTTCATGTGATGTATCCTAAGCCAAAAGATGATCGTTATAGGACCCAGCACTACCAAGATGTTGCGCTTTTTACAATGAAGTATCAGTATATACTGTACACCATCTTTTATCTGTACTATAATGGCGCGCCACTTTTGCTGCTTCTATGGGAGTATCTGATGGATAGACAGAACATGAGTTATAGGACGCAAACTAATATGTGGTTTCCCTGGAAGGTTAAAGGTTCAGCAATTGGATTTGCGCTGGCCATTTCTGTTCAAGCTTTTGCCTCCGTGGTGGGCGTGGCCTATTCTCTGAAATCCCTAAATATTGTTTGCATATTTACGTACCAACTGAAACTGCACTGTGACGCCTTGGCAAGCCAGCTACTCCGTTTGGACTCTCGGCTACCTGGATCCTATCAGGAACTAAGGATTTTGATCACTTACCATTGTCGTATCTTCGATATTGGAGAGCAAGTCAATCAGATCTTGAACTCTTATTTCCTGAGTAGCCTAATATTTTCTACTATCGCCATTTGTATGACAAGTGTTGCCGTACTGCTACTCGACTTTGCCTCTGCCTTTAAATATATCAGTGGCCTGGTGGCCTTCGTCCTCTACCACTTCGTCATTTGCTACATGGGCACCTCGATTACTGCAGCGGTAAGTAATCTTTTTGACTTTATTGTTGGACTAGGTATATTGTTTTTATATATAGAGAGATCTATATGAGACGGTCAGAAAAGTTATCTTTATTCTGGAACAATTTAGCTAGCTGGTGAAGTAAAAATCTCAACCTTATCATGTGCAATTTTTCATTTCTGTTTTGCTGACGTCACTGTTGCCGTAATCTAGGGAATATACTATATAGTACCTTAAAACCAGTTGCCTGTTCTCAGGAACTCAAGTATAGATGATTAAAAATTACCCAATTAGGTCATGCAGACTGACGTATAAGAACGATTGCATATTGCGAAATAATTTCAGTTTCGGTTCAGAGCAGGATGGAATTTCATGAGTATTTTGAGTATTTTGACAGGAGCTGCCGTTTTACAATGGCGCCACGTTTTAAATGGAGTGGACGACCAGCGGAGAATGATTCTTATCCGCTGTTAAGAAAAACCTTCTTCTTACTGGGATCCTTTTGCTTGGGCTATCAGATTTTTGGAGTGATGATATATTGGCTGTTATTTGACCGGAAGGCAGAGGACACCCAAAAATTTGTGGCCGGGATCTCGGAGGCAACGGGGGCTCTGATGCTCGTCTCTGTGGGATTTTACAATATATGTGCCCTTCAATATCATCGCACTGAGATCGAGGAGCTGCTGACGGACCTAATGGAGCTGTATCCAAGACCCAGAGAGAGACACTATCGCTGCCGGCATTACCACAAATTGGCCAATGGCTTCATGAAATTCGAGTTTGTATACTTTTGGATGTTTGTCCTGTACTACAACACTGCGCCACTAGTGGTTTTACTGTACGAGCATCTGACGGATGAAATGGATGTCAGCTATAAGACCCAGATTAACACCTGGTATCCCTGGAGAATCCATGGATCAGCAATTGGTTATGGACTAGGTCACTTTGCCACTTGCATCGCCTCGATTGCGGGCGTGGCATTCTCCTTGGGCACTCACAATCTTATCTGCATATTTACCTATCAGCTGAAGCTACACTTCGATGCTATAGCCAATCAATTACTCGAACTCGACTCTCGTCATCCAGGTGCCAATCAGGAGTTGAGAAGGCTAATCGCATACCACAGTCATGTCGTTCGGATTGCCGATGAATTTAATGAAGTAATGAACTTTTCCTTTCTTGGAGGCCTGTTATTTTCCACAATAGCTCTTTGCATGACGAGTGTGGCTATTCTACTCCTCGATTTGGTATCTGCCTTTAAGTGCGTTAATGGTCTAGTTGCATTTATCGTTTACAACTTTGTAATCTGCTTTTTGGGCACTGAGTTCTCCATAGGGGTAAGTTGGGACGATAAAATAATACTGTGTTTCTCGAACTTTGCGAAAAAGTTAAAGTTTACTGGTGACAATATGATAACAATTAGTCAGATATATTTAAATAATTATAATTTAAAAAAGGTTATTTATACACTATATATCACCTTAAATTTATATAGGAAAATCTTTAACATTTTTTGAGTGTATTAGTGTTAATTTCATCTTCTTATTTCAAGGTACCAAATTGGTATTAAAATATTTAAGCACTTTGATTCACAATTACCCTGACTAAGTGCTTCCCATTGTGCATTTAAAATCAGAGGGCTACCCAAATGACTCTGTTAACTAACTGAAACAGTTGCACGTTTTCACCGTGGATTATCCCACCAATTACTATAATTTGCCACGGAATACGGTTGCAGAACCCAGTAATAATTCAGTACGAGATGCAGCTGGAGGACTTTATGTTCTATCAGGACCTCGTGTCCCAAGGGGCCCAATTTCCAAGATTCGAGTGGAACGGCAGGCGATCTTTGGGAGTCAAGCGCAGTTTGCCAGGACGCATTATCTTCTGGTTCGGAGCAGTAAATCTGATATATCACAACATCGGATGCTTTATGTACGGTTATTTCGTTGATGGAAGTACCAAGGACCCAATTGAGTACATTGCCGAATTGGCAGCCGTGGGAGCCATGCTTGGATTTACTATAGTGGGCACCCTTAACTTGTGGAAAATACTAAGCCTTAAGCCACATATTGAGGAATTAATGGAGGAGTTCGAGAAGTTGTTTCAACTTACCAAAAGAAGACCATATCGCAGCCAACACTATTTCGAGTCGTACACGCGTTTTATAAGGATATTGGTTGTTTTCACTAGCAGTTGCATCGTCTACTACAATTTACTACCTAATATTCTCATGATTCGAGAACTTCTGATGGAATCGCAGGATTTGAGTTATCGCATTCAGAGCAGTGCCTGGTATCCTTGGAAGATCCAGGGATCAATTCCTGGATTCCTAGTTGCGGTCATCTGTCAGGCTTTTTCGTGCCAGACGAACCTATGTGTCATCATGTTTAGCCAGTTTCTGGTTAGCTTTTTTGGCATCCAGCTTGAAATTCACTTTGATGGATTGGCCAGACAGCTGGAAGCCATCGATGCAAAACATCCCTCTGCCAAAGAGCAGTTGAGGTCCCTCATCATATACCACAAGAAAATGTTAAATTTAGCGGACAGAGTGAACCGGATTTTCAATTTCACGTTTTTCATAAGCCTTTCGATATCCATGATTTCCATGTGTTTCTTGGCCTTTTCCGTGACCATGTTCGACTTGGGTACGGCCCTAAAGCATGTGCTCGGACTCTTAATATTCATGATTTATAATTATTGCATGTGTCGTAATGGGACATACCTAATTTTTGCGGTAAGTTTTTAAAGCATATTTATAAAGTGTCTTTTTATATTAGTTTTTAAACCAGACAGCCCCAAAAATAGTGCCTTCGATACTTTAGCAGTTGCCTTAAAAATTTCATCAGTTATTACCAATATTCAATTTTCGTACACTTAATGTTTAGTAAATTCCTCTTTAAGATTAAAAAAGGGATATAAGCCCAACATTTCCCCTGCATGGCAACTGACAGAAATTTATAATTACCAGAATAACCAATTTGAAGCAGTTGCTTGTTCTCAGGACATTATTCCTGCTGGGCTGATTGCCTAATTTTAGCAAATGGATTTTTTTTTAAGTTCTCAGTATGAGGTGGCCTTCCAACGATGCATTACGAGGATATTATACACTATACTGACATAGCCTGTCGATGGGCTCTGATGCCAAGATTTGAATGGAAGGGTCGAAAGTCACCGAGAGCCGAGGAAACATGGATACAAAAAATATTTTTCATAGCCGCTGCCATCAACCTAAGCTATTACAATGTTTCTTTCACTGTCTACGCCTATCAACTTGATCCGGAAACTACAGATCCTTTGATATATACTGGAAAGATTTCGGAGGCTGGCAGTATGCTGGGATTTGTCGTTTTAGGAACTCTTAATATGTTTTCACTTCTAATACTTAGGCCTCAGATTGAGAATGTGCTGGCAGAACTTCAGGATTTGTTTAATCAAAAATTAAAGAATACTTCTTCAGTCGGCTATCGTCTAAAGAAATCAATTCGATTGATGAGAAATTGTACTGTGTTATTTGCATTTGGTAACACCTACTACAACGTAATGCCTTTTATAAACATGGCTTACCAAATTCTAACGGACTCAAAGCAAGTTTCTTATATAATACAAAACGATGCTTGGTACCCCTGGAAAATTGGGGATTCTATTCCTGGTCTATGCGCTTTATATATAAGTCAAGCCCTGTCTTCAATACTAAATGTTGGCACTATTATAACTAATCAGTTATTGATACATGTCTGTACCATACAATTAGAACTACATTTCGATGGATTATCAAATCAACTGGAAAACTTAGATGCCAAGGACTTAAGAGCTAAGGGAATACTCATTTCACTAATTTGTTACCATCAGAGAATAATGCAGCTAGCGGACAGTATTAACGGAATTTTTAACTTTACCTTTTTGATTAGTTTAACTACTTCTACCATTGCCGTGTGCTCTATGTCCTTCACTTTGACCACGCTCGATATGATGACAGCTCTTAAGTATACGGTGGGACTTCTTTTATTTATGTTCTACACTTTTTCCCTATGTCACAATGGTACTCTGGTATCTTTGGCGGTAAGAAAGGATATAGGGTATTTTTTAATATTATTTAATTTTATTAAAATTAACAAATTCTTTAGATATTTTAATGAGATCTCTTTTTTCAGAGTGACAAAGTGTTGCCAGCTGCTTTTTATAACAATTGGTATGAGGGTGATCTTGCCTATCGTAAAATGCTGCTGATCTTGATGATGCGTGCTACAAAACCTTATGTGTGGAGAACCTACAAGCTAGCACCTGTGTCGATTACCACCTATATGGCAGTGAGTTTTTACTTAAATGTACTCTGTTATTTTAAGGTTTTAAATTATATTTTCTTACAGACTTTGAAGTTTTCTTATCAAATGTTTACCTGCGTGCGTTCCCTGAAATAAACAGGAAAAAAAGTAATCACAAAAGAGTCTAGCTCTGAAAATATATTAAACAAACACAAAGATTTAGAATGCTTACCACTTACTCTCTGCTTAAAATCAATTTTTGCTTTTAAAATATATCTAGCCAAAATAAACATGAATTTAAACATGAATTTCGGGTATGCTAGTTTCAGTACCCCATAGAAATACATTTCTCTTCAAAAAATGTTTAAAAAATATTAAATGTATAACATTTATTAGCTGGAAAACATTTATATTAGGCCTAAGGCTAATTAAAAATTCCTTAAATTCGTGAGAAACCCCAACGAGTTGACCCATTAACTTTTTCGCACTCGCTGCACAACAATGCAAAACAAAGGAAGCCCCAGAACAACGCAATTTGAGACAGGATGAAAGACAAAAACCTCGGGATATATGGAATATGGAAGGATATTTGAAAGGAAGCCAACTGAGTGCCCGCTTCAGTGCTTTTCTGGCTGGAACTAAGCAAACTTATTAAAGCCAGACAAAGGTTGTCAGGGTCGTCGGCTTTGGGGGAAAGCATTCGACTTTTCATTTGGGAAATGCAGGAGCGTAAAATTAAGTTCTTTGGTAAAATTGCTGGAATTATGTACAAGTCACCTGGCAGTCCTTGTCCCTTCACCCTGACTGGGAATAGTCCGTCATATGCTGGGTCTGAGTGGCTGTGATGGGTGTGATTATCACGTCGTTATCCTGGATCAGTGGCAACAGCGTTGCCATCGCATTTCCCATACCTCCTGCCCGTCTTCATCTGGCTCGGACCCTGGTCCTTGTTTTATATAATAACATTTTAATTCCCTTAATACACGCTACGCTGGCCGCAAAGCCAAACAAAACTGAATGCCCGCCCAGGAGTTGTTGTTTTGGTCTTGTTGCCTCTTTTTGCCTGTTTTTTGGCTCTCAAGTTGGCCAAGAATTTGGCTGTTTTTTCGGTTAGTTCGCTTGTGCGTGCAAATCATTAATCATGAGCAGGGCATATTTATTGTTCTGCTTTCGATGACAGCTTTTTGCTGGCCATGGATTTGGCACGTTCCATTTAATTCCCGCCCTTGCTTCGATTAAAGATTTAATGTTTAAAATGTTGAGCTGCGAAATGCTGGCGTATTACAGGTGTTTTAAAAGAATTTGCAGCATATTTTTTATAATACTCAGAAAAACTGCATATCTTTGATGGCAAAACCGTAAAATTACACACAGTTTTAACAGTCCCTTAAATATTTATGAAATTTCCTATCGAAACTATTTCATGTTCAATAAAAATTTTCAAAAGAAAAAAATCAAGACAATCCCTATGGAAAGACTTGCCTTTTCACAAATGCGAGTTTTTAATTAATCCATCGACTTTTAATCCCTGGCTATCAGCATCCATTTTCGTACCAGTGATTATATGGGCTAATTGCAATCGGGGATCTAAGCCTTTCCAACTGACAGCTCACAAAAGCACGTTTGGCAGTTAATTGAGTCATCAGCTTAGACAACAGCCGGGGTGGCCATATGAAAAAGATTGTGAATTGCCCAATCATGTGGAAGTGACTGCCAAGACCTTTAAAGTACACACGTCCCAGTGCCCAGGACAATGGCCAAAGGAGCATAGAAATCTGGCCGGAGGTTCCAACCCACCCACACAGAATCGACAGTCTGTATAAAAATTGACTAGGCCAGAGGAGGCTGGACACAGCTGCAGGATGATCATTGCAGGCATTTGCTCCTTGTGTTTACCCTGGGCTCAGGACCCATTCTACATTCTGAGTTCTCCATGGCCCCAGTCCAAGTACTGACCATAGCCTTGATAAGTTTTTAGCAAACAAAGGCGGCTCGTTACAGCAACATGGGTCTTGGGAATTGGTTGGGTGAACCAAAACAAACCAAACCAAACCGAACTGAGCCAAACTGGGCTGAGCTGCGATGTGCATTTAAAATTGCATACACAAAACACGAAAATTCCCACAGCCCTGCTGCCAGAGTCAAAACCACAAAATGTACTCAAACAACATGTCTCAATTTCGTAGCTAAACTTGCCCCATTCGAGGCGAGGGTCGAGGAAAAGGAAAAGGGGATGTGGTCCTGGCCGAATCACCGAAATGGTAATTGAAAATGTTATGTAAGATTGGTGGGGGGGGCCAGCGATATTGTGGTCCACACAAAACGATAGGACATAATTGGCTTTGGTCTGCAACCGTTTAAAAGTAATAGACTAGATTGTAACAATCTTGTCTTAAGGCTATTTTGGGGAAATGCTTCGTTGAATTTTAGAGTGGGAAGTTTCGAAAGGTATTGTTTTAAATGGGTTAACTTTTTAGCAATTAGAGAAAATATACTTTCAGATAAGGGACTTTTAAGACCTATTATTTGAAATTTATTTTAAAAAATCTTAAAATTTCTACTGTCAAACCAAACTCTGTTTACATTTTTGTTTCCAAAAAATCTTCTACTATAAATTAATTTTCAATATATCAAAATGTATTGTTTTAAATGGATTAACTTTTTAGCAATTAGAGAATAAATATTGTCTTACTTTAAAAAATCTTCAAATTTGTTCTATCAAATCAAACCTTCTTTACCTTTTTTGTTTCTAAAAATCTTCTACCATAAATTATTTATAAATATTTCAAAAGGCAATGTTTTAAATGGATTAACTTTTTAGCAATTAGAGAATAAATACTTTCTGATTCGAGGCGATTAAGACCAATTATTTGAAATGTTCTTTAAAACATCTTTAAATTTGTTCTATCAAACCAAACCCTCTTTACATTTTTGTTTCCAAAAAACCTTCTACCATAAATTAATTTTCAATATTCCTTTGGCCCCTTCAGAGTGAACCACTTACAAAAGCTAGTCCGTTGTCCATCAATTACTTAGCCTTATCTGCCGAGGCCATATGGTGTCACCCCAACTTGCGGCCGAGGGGCGCAAAAAATGTAATAACAACGGGATGGCGAAATTTTTACACACAATTTAGACACATTTCCGCACGTAGTGGGGACCAAGCCTAAGCTCCATGTGCTTCATAGCGAAAAGCTGGAAAACAAAAGCCAAAGCCAAGAGGAAAAACCGCCACAGCGGAAAGCGTCCAGAAACGCGACGAAGAGGAAATAATGTTGGTGGGTTTTCCAGCGTAAAAAAAAACAATCCCTAAAATGTACATGGGCTGTAAGAATATAAAATACCCTGTCCTAAAAGCTTATTAACTGAACTGAAATCATAAATACCTTTTTAGAAAATATAAATAAAATAATTTGAAAGTTGTGCATTCTTATGCTTACTCTGATGAATAATACATTAATTAATATTTTATTGAAGTGTATTGAAAATTCAGTATTATCCCATAAAATGTGGGGTAATGGAATGGTTTTGTTTAAGGCGGGACCAACTTGAAATAACGCCGCCACTTGCCCCCAAAAAATCTGTTAGCATTTGTGTCTATTAAGCGTGAGCAATAAACTTCATAAATTCCACAAATTAGAATGATTAAATTTCATGTCCCTGTAATTTCAGGCCAGCAGACGTGTCCACAGTTTTGGGTAATCAAATTTTTCACTGCGCAACGACTAAATTAATGGAAAGTGATTTGGCAAAAGGCTAGGTCAACACCTTTGATCTGCTGCCTAAACGCAAATACAACGTGCTTTCATCGGAGGGCTTAATCTATCAATTGAATAATGTTTGTCAATCCATCTTGACGGGGTAATCAGGTTGGAAAATTCGTCACTCTGGCAAGCTTTTACAGTAAGTACTTCTATACAGACATATTAATCAATTTTAAATTTGTAAAAATGTATTTACTTACAATTTAATAAGTGTTTTGTTACAAAACGTATGTAGGTATATAAGAATAATTAGTAAGTACTGATAATTGCAGTCTTTTGGATTAATTGTTTTAATCATGGCTTAAAAACCATTGAATATAAGTGATGTATACTGTTTATCGAATATACCATACGGCAATTGTCGTTTGTTCGGAAGCGACACAAATTGGTCATATGATGTCCGGCGATAATTATTGTCAATTTATTGAATGCTCATTATTGAAATATCACTCATACGCCACAGAGGCATGCTAATAAACCCATTGAAACGAGCGTTCGATATCCGAACGGAACTTTTAGGGCCGCAACCGCAGTTGCAACATTTGCATGTGTGCGAGCGATAAATGTTGCACACAGCTGTTGTCATAATAATATGTGCTATAAAACTGTCTTAAAAAAAAAAGAATTCAATGATTGAAGTTTAAAGAATGGTGATATATCATTATAAGTTGATTTAAAATAAATCAAGGATTAAAGTTTAAAGAGCCGCATATCAAAGTGAACTTAAAGAACTAATTATAATTGGTTGATATATCATTTAAATTTGATTTAATATAAATAAAAGATTTATGTCTAAGGAACCCCATATTCAAGAAAATTTAGTTATTGTAATATTACATGCTGATGTATTATTTTAAGTAGATTTAATATAAATCAAAGAATGGTGTTTAAAGAACCCCATATGCTAGCTAATTTTAATAATCCAATATTATATGTTGATGTATCATTTTAAGTTGATTTAAGATAAATCAAAGATTGAAGTCAAAAGAACCACATATCCAAGCAAATTTAAAGAATTCATTAAAATTTGTTGGTGTATCATTTTAGTATTGTTGTGAATGAACAAAATATTATTATAGTTTAATATTAAAATGAAAGCCTCCATTTTTCATAATTCCAAAAAATATAATTTTTAGATGCTGTACAGTTTCCTTTATTGGATATTATTGGAGTTACCAAAAATACTTGCTTACTAAACCTATTACTTTTTGTAACACTTATAAGTGATATTGCTACTATTTTTACCGCAATGTAAATAGTGCTGTATCAGTAGTGAGTGTCAGGTCGTGTCTATGTTGCTGCGGACAGGATGACCGCGCAATCACGATGACGACGCCACCTATTTCCAATTACCGATGATGCTGAGCGAGCAGCAACGACACAGCGACCCCTGACCCGCCGACCTACCAACCCGATACCAAACCACCACCCACCGCCCCGCGTCCCGGCCATGATTGATTGCAACAAAACCAGATTTTGGTTACTGTCATTTAAGCGCCGACTAACTTTCGAGCTGGCCAACACCCAAATCGAAGCTTTATCGTTGCTCTTGACTACGCCGTATGTTTAATGCAGGCGATAATTTTAATTGCCCCCCGGCTGCATTTTTAATTAAACGCAAAATTAAAAATTGATTGCTTTTTGACGCCATAACTTACATGGCGATAATGCCCCCTGAATGCCACGATCCCCAACCGAGGCAGTCGGCTTTAGTATCTGTGTGGCACACTTTCCGACCATTTAATATTATAAAATTTAAATCGCGAAGAGCCTTACGAAAAAGGAATGCAAGTAGGTATATGAAATTTGCATTTGCGTGGCACATGCAATGTGCGGATAAAGTTTGGCTATTTCGGGCTAGTTGTGTACTTTTTTCGAGTCCTGCCAGCCGGAAGTAAAAGGTTTTAAGCGGAAGTGCGCAGAGTTGCAGCGACATATTGTGTTTTCAAACGTGTGTGTGTGTGTGTAATTATATGCCGGGGTCTGCTAAATGTTGTGGAGACATGCAAAGCGGCTCTTAGCTAGCTGCTAGTTTGTTTTTTGAACGAGGTTAAATGGGGTTTAGGGAAATATTTGAAACAGTTTCGGCTCTTCAAAATTTGATAAACACCATTCAGGCCCCAAAGATTATTCTGGAAGTAAAATAAAATGCTTGATGTGCTTTTTTTCTTTTATTTAAATACAAGATTGATTGCGTTTGAACTGCTGATTAAATTAAGCATGCCAGAATGGTGATTTACATCGGGGTTTTGTTGTTCGGCTGACTTGCATTTATTACTCCTCATCGAATGACTATTAACATTTAAATGCTGCAACTCACCAATCGACCGATTTTGTATTTAATTAATGCAATTATATTACGGCAAATTAATGAATTTTAATTCGATCGACCAGCAACCACACGGCAGCATTTAGTGAGGGGAAATGGATGCGAGGACATTGTCAATATGCCAGACGAATGCACTTGATTAATTTGTAAGAATTCTTTAGACTCGCCTATCAATATTAATGGCTTGACAATAAAATTATTAAAATATTCATAAAAATATTTGCGAAAACGGGTGGCCACTTAATCAATTCAATTTCAATTTGTGCTGTCATTGTTGGCTTATATACATTAAACCGTTTAATATTTATAAAAAAATATTAATTTACATATTAACATAATGATTTCCACTTAATCAATTTAATGGGCAGTGTTCTTTTCAAGAGTTCATTTTTTTTATCAGCGTAAGCTTTTAAAATATGTTCAATCATTACCTTCCTAACACTTTTTAGTATATCAGCTACATATGTATATTTGTATATTGTGAAAAAACTTAATATTTGTCATTATGAACCATAAACCAATTGGTCCAAAAAGAGTTAAGAGGAGAAAGGAAGTCAAGAAAAGCAAGCCCTACGAGTCTTATTATATGTACGATGTGTTTAAGAATCACATGGCGCACCTGCGTTTCAGCCACGTGGTATTTCAGCGAAAGGTGCCGCTAATCAAAAGACTACAGCTCGTCCTGGAGAAAAATATAGGTCCTCATGCCCATGTGATAATTGGCAATACGGTCTACAAGTGCCAAGTCCTGATACTCCGCATCTACTGCCGGCTTTTTAGCAATAACCTTAAGCGCGGTGATTTGGTCAGGTTTCCCAATGGTGTGATGAGCAACGAGTGCTTTGAAATGGCCTACGGCTGGATGATCAGTGATCAGATATACTGTCCCCGTAGCCAGTTGCTGGATCTTTTGGTGGCCACAGAGCAGCTGAAGTGCGCATCTTTGGCCAGGAGCCTTTTCCAGCGCCTGGACGACCACAGGCACTTCTCAGATCTGAAGGCCTTCGCGTGCTTCTGGGAGGCCAAGCGCAGGGGCATTAAGGCCATGGCCGATATGATGTTGGCCAGGGCGGGAAAGGCCTTCCTGGCTCTGGTCTGCACGAAGGGGTATATGAGGCTGGATGTCTACAGCTTGTGCGATCTACTCCGCTCCGATAGCTTGGCTGTGCAATCCGAGATCGAGGTAAGACTCTTTACTCAAGTATTACATTTTCTTACAAACAGCTTACTTACCAAATTTGATCCGGCTTACAGGTCTTTTATGCAGCTCTACTATGGCTTGAGTTCAACTATCAAAGACGTAAAATATATATCTATCGTGTCATGAGCTTGGTAAGGTTCCATATGATGCCAAATGCATTTCTTCTTCGGTGTGGGAGCAATCTCAAGAATTTGCGGCCACATCTTGCGGATCAGATTTGTCCCTTGATTTTTCATGGAATGCTGACAAAGCACGAAAGATATATGAGTCCTCGAAATTCAAACTGCTATAAATGGAAAACTCGCAATTGGATACGCGACCCCTTGTGTCCTTATGGAATTTGCCTCGAAAGAAACGGCTGCTGCGATATAAATATTGAAGTATTTCTCTACTATTTGAGGTGTATTCGAAAATCCCCTGATGCTTTTCTGGCTCGGCTAAGAAAGACTAGCCACGAACCTTCTACATCAGAGTATTCTGGAGGCAAATCCCCCGTGGATGTTTTGAAACATGATTATTTTTATGATGATTCTGAGTCATCTGATAGTGATTCAGTCTATGATCCTGACAGTGAACCTGGCGAAACCTCTACGTTGACCGCTTCCAAAGAATCTAAATATACGAAAGAAGATGATTTTATGCCGTCTCCTGGATATATTGGTATTGATACGGATGAAGAAGGAATTTTTAAAAAGAAATCGAAAGTCAGTTTTAAAAATGTTAATGAATCGGTCTTTTTTTCGGATTCTTCCCTGGAGACGTCTGATGAATTCTCTACGGATACCACTGAAGAATTTTTTACAGACTCCTGCCAGGAAACCTTTGCAAAATATAATAAATCATCTCGGAAAAGCGCTTTAGATTCCGTAAAATATGTCCTCGCAGATTCTGAAACGGATTCTGCTGCATATGCCGGCACAGATTCTAAAACAGATTCCACTAGATATGCCGGCACAGATTCTGAAACGGATTCCTCTAGATATTTCGTCACAGATTCTGAAACAGATTCTGCTAGATATATCCGCGCAGATTCTGAAACCGATTCCGGTGAATTATCCGCTAGATATTCTATTGCACATTACTACAAAGATTCCTATAAGGGTATACCATTTAGATCATCAACCGGAAACCGTAGTTCTAAAACCACCTTAACAAATGATTCGTTGGAATATTTTTAAATTCAATTAAATTTTCCATTTACATTTGTGGTCTTTCATTTGGAGGAGATTGGGTTAAGGTTCGCACTTCTCGAAACCGAATTTCTATTTTTTTTCGGATCCAACATGGAAGCACTTAAATTGGGCGTAACAAAATGTCTGACACGCCAATTATTTTGCTTTTTATATGGGACAGACACTCCGACTACTCCTGCTTGTTGCTGTAACTACTCCTCCGGATCCTGCCATTTCTTCTGCTTTCACTGTTCTGCGTGTTAGTTTTTATATGTGGGTGTCTGGGGCTCTGAGGGTTGAGAGAAATTTTCTGCTGCTTGCTTTTTAAGTGGTTTTATTGTTCGCTTGTTTGTACTGTTTGTAACAACTTCGTTACTTTATTTTTATTTGTATTTTCCTTTACATATTGGTTTAAAAGTCAGTGAGCCATGGCCAACAACGAAGATGAGCTGCAATTTGTGATGCCAGATAGGTCAGCTTGTTGAGAAGTTGGTTAGGGCTTAACTGAAGTGAACTAATGATTGGCAATGTTTACAGGTTTTAAAGTAAGGCAAGGTATTTAGTTTCGTTTTTCTTAAATTACTAAATTATCTTTGAATTTTTTGATACCATATCTCTTCCATTACCCAATCAAAATATGAAAACAAAAAAATAGCTTTGCCAACTGCACAGAGTTGTTAATGGCAAAAATGGTCCGAAACTCTGGTTTTTGTTTTGTAATATTAACCCACAATCCCAGCACACAGAATGCAAATTATTTGAAAACTTTTTAGGAAAAGTTTTATTTTTGTGTATGCTATGAACGACAGGTTTTTATGGCCATGATTTGCTAATTACATTTTGTTTATTTGGTAATTGGAGTGCAGCCAAAAGCTTCATTAGCAGTGAGTGAAAAGTTAAACTCAATGCAATTAGCCGGATATTTGGGGTATCGATATCTCCGGATGCTATCATTACCGTCCAATAAGGTAGTTACAATTTGTTTTGTGGGCTTTGCCTGGTGATTTATGGCTCATATGCTGTCACATCGAATTCCTAAAATAACTTATTGATATATGGCTGAAGAATATTTCCATAGGTAATAATTTCCGTTATGGCAAGTAATGATATATTGATAAACATCTGATGCCAAAAGGGAAAATGGTTCGAATGTATATGATATTCCTTTATAATACTTGAATGCATCTTATATTTTTAAGATGCTTGCTTGTGGGTATGCACAACATAAACATGCCCAATTCATTAAGATTCTCTCGTCTACATGCTGGGAAATTTATACAACAGGTGAGCTATTCATAAGCACAAAAACCCTGGGAAAACGCTTTGCACTTCTGTTCATTCAGCACTTCTTGCCGCTTTTCTTTGCGGAGATTTTCTTCTGCTTCACTGGGCAAATGCGCTTTTCCTGCTCACATGTTGCCTTCTGCCAGTTTGCTGCTAGTTTAGTGCTGACATTTCATTAAGTTCGCCCCTGTTTGCCATTCGATTTCAATCAGGAAATGGAAGAGATTAAGAGTGCGTCCGAAGCCAATGACCCACATATACTCGTAGATGCAAAATTTGTGCCACTTTGTCGGACTCACTAATTAGACCATATTGCTACCGAAATTCCGGGAACAAATTAGCACTCTGGTGTTTTTGAATTAAAAGCTATGGCGATCGAAAAGCATTGAAATCGAGGCAGTTAATCACTGAATCCGTTGGAGGGGTATCGGCTCCATACTTTCGGTTGTCAGGGCCCTCTCAATGGCACCCGGGAGTCGTTTTTGGGGCTAAAATGAGCGCCTGCGGTTCGAAAAAGACCCAGAGCATCGAGCCTTTTTGCCAGGCAACAATGGCCGGCAATAGTAGCACCGATAAATAGGAAATTTGCACTGAATTTGCACGCACGGCTTAATTGTTGGCCATGTTGTTAGGGCTCCGACGGCAGATTAAATCGGCCGTAACGCAAAACACAAGCGGACTTGGGGGGGAAAATTCGCTGAAAATGTGACAGGGCCCGCTGCCAAATGAACCCGGGCTCAAAGCACTTCACTGCCGGCCAGCCAATTGAGCCCTGACCACTGGCAATTCACAATTTGCAAGTGCAGTTTGCCGTAAATTTCCCAATTTCAACATTTCATTTGCCGAACTTTATGGCATTTTCTATATGCATAACCTTTTGTCATTACCTGCAATTCATTAACGTACTTTGATGCCAGCCATATTTTAATTGTCGCTGAAACTGTTGATTATCAGGGAATGTTGGCATTTGGTCATTTGTTTGAAAATATTTTATGTGAGTAGCTGCTTTGCATGTTTATTCATGAAATACTTATATAATAAATATTTTACTACGGAGTTTGTTCATAAATTTTGTTATGTTTTGGATAAATATTGACGTCCTACAAAGCTATTTCCTAAGCATACAGAACTGAAAATTTAATATATTTATATGAACCTTAATTATTTAACATTATTTGCCAAACTAAATCATCAACCATTTAATAGATAACTAATTTGCCAGTGAAAAGATGGTCAAATAGGGTAAAATTGTTTTTAAGACAGTTTCCAGAGCTTGATTTAGAGTATTACTATTTAACTCAAACTCTTTATTTAAATAACCATTGTATGGTTTGATTACCTTAAATAAATGTTGTTATCTAGTCCTGGGCTAAAATTATTTTAAGAGTGCTGGATTTCTAGTATACATAAAAATCACAAATCCTTTAGATAAATTACCAATTTACGGATTGACCACCTCGAATAAATGGTGTCATCAACCCCTGGGTTCAATAAACTCAAAAACTTAGATCTCCGGTTCCTCGTTCAGTCCTTAACAATGCAAATGCGGAAACACCGACTGAGGCTGGCGGGATGATTAAAATATAATTCATATGCCAGTCCAAAGTTGTGGAACATTTCCGCAGTTGCAAAAAAACAGAAAAATTGCACCCCGCCACCCCTTTCCACATAATGAACACATACATATTCATAACGCGCACGCACACACACACCTTTCGGCTGCGTATGTGACCCACAGGTGTGTGCGTGTGTGTTCGTGCGAAAATATTACGACAGGCCCTGTCTTCCTGCATGTGACATAAATCTTGGGCAAATAAATAAAATCCAAAAAAATAAAAACCCAGAGCGAAATGAAAGATAGAGCGAAGACAGTAAAAGCAAATGAAAACGCACGCGCAGCAGTAAATTTTCAGGTGAAAAACAGGGGGTAGCAAAGAGGGGGGTGGGTTGCAAGAGGGGGCAAAGGTGTTCGGGCAGGTGGGACATCATGAACACCTAGACGTGCCGACAATTTTTGCATTTAAATGCGAGCAATTTGCCGGCGCCAACTGAAAGAAGCAGCAAATGAACGACAACGCAGGCGAAAAAAACGAAAAAACTGTTGCCTACTTTCTGGGGCCATCGAGAAGAAAATGGCGTTAAACGGATGTGAATCATGTGCGGAACTCCCCGTACAAAAAAAGGAAATGTCAAAAAAAATACGAATGAGCCAAGGAAAACTGAAACAGTCGAGTGGCGGAAGCACAAAATGAAAATGATAATAACAATGCGGTGGCAGGCGTCTTCAATTATTGAAAATGGCGCGATTTGCATGGTAAGCGTTTCATTTGACAGCGGAAGTTCATTAGCGCCATCTGGCGATGGGGACGCCGCACCCAGTGAGAAAGTTGGTGTGTGTGTGTGTGTGTGCAAATTGCATTTTCCGAGTATCTGCAACACTTAATTAGAAACCGCAAGTGCAAAAAAAAGCGAGAAGAGGGCAAAATTGATTGCGGCTGCGGTCAATTCGGGGCAATTCGAAGGGTATGATAGTTACTTCAGGCATTGAGTCTAAGCAGTAGTAGTAGAGGTTAAAAAACCAATAAAATCTAGTTTCTGGAGATCCTGTAAGTGAAAAGTAAAAGTTACATTTTTTGAAAGAGTAATCTAACTATCCCATTTTGAGCGAACTATAGTTTTAGTACCCTTAATCAACACATAATATTTTATTTCTTCGGCTACGTGTTAAAAACTTGGGTTTTAGATTTGGGTTAAGAAAGTTTAACTAAAAATAAATAAAATAATTAAATAATAGTAAATTTAATTTTCATTAATTCATAATTTATTGAATTTCGAATAAGTCTAGTTATAATATCATGAGTATATTTTGGGATTAATTATTTATAAATTTTAAATATAACATATAAGTAAGGCCGATTGTTTTTAAACCGTTTGTGCATGTTATGCGACCTCCAACAATTTTTAAATGTTGATGCTTAAAAAGGACTTATGTATTTAAAAATATGTTTTTCCATTTTATTATAAAAATGCTGTTAACCCACAATGAGCACCTGCCAAGTCGAAACTATAGCCGACCTGTTAGATTTGCGAACCCATAAAAGGACTCAGTGCCACTTCATTCAACATTAATTACACCCGAGGTTTTTTCGTAGTGGATTGGTCAATGGATTTTCCCATGCCCACATTCGATTCCCGCCCTTCGCAGCCATCCAAGTCGAAGTTGATTTTATATTTCACTCGGTCCGTGAGCAGTTAAATCACCGCCAAGGCCACTCGGATGCGAAACCGACTGCTGATGCGAATGTGGCCGTGGCAGGCGTTCATCATCCGCGTCATTATCGGGTTTTCCACATTTGGCAAGCCGCCGAAAGATCGAGGGCCTGTTGGCCAAAAAAAAATATAAGGAAAAAGGAAAAAGAGCCACGTGAAAAATCCCCTCAGCTGCCAAATGCAGCGGTTGCTTTTGCTTCAATTGAATAATTCGTATGATAAACGAGTGTGTTTGCCGGCGCGAGTTGTGTGCATTTTATATGCCCTCAGGCGTTTCGATTTCACTTTTTGCTCTACACATTTCAATGGTTTATCCTGGCGGCACTGAGCTGCTTTTAATGCCACTATCAAAATATTTTCCTGCGCATAATTTTTCGGCCAGGTCTCATTTCGTTTATATTTGGACTTTTTGGTATTTTTGTAAACGCCGCTGGTTGTTTGTGACACCCCAA